TTTTGGAGTAGTCGATTTTTGGTAAAAAAGGAAGGTTCAAATACTATGCGAAGTATTCGAATACTTCTCAAAGTATTTAATTATTTAATTACAAAGTATTTGAATACTTTAAAGGATTTGAATACTAAAAAGTATTTACAAAATCGAATACTGCCGAGCTCTGCTTTCAGAACACTATTAATACTCGTGTCAATAACAGACGTCGTGCAAAATCTACAACACCTGTGTGATATTTTAATAAGGCAACCCCTCAGACTCTTACATTAATTTGTATTTTCGTTGTAGGTGATATTAATACTGACCGTTATTAATATGGTTAATCGCCGTACACAAAATAAAAGACAGATTTCTGGTTTTTAAATGTGAGCACCCCCGTTTAAAGAGGAGGTGGCGTAGTATGATAAATATCTTGTTATATGATTTTGAGTGGATTTTATATTAGCCAACAATAAATTTAATAAATTTTAAGGAAGAATTAGCTGCGGACTTCCTTGTCTTCTGCTAACTGTTGCCTAAGCTCTTGCCCTTCAGAATCTGTAGGCACGATCTTGTAATCCCATACTTGTGCCTAGCGAATTAAAATTGTACAAAATAATAATTGACACGTATGCACAACTTACATCAGCGGACGCAAATGCAAGATAGAACAAACATGTAATAAAAAGTATTAAGCTGGAGGAATAAAATATTCCATGCCATGCATCTTCCGGGTCCTAAAAGTTGCTATTCACGCGAGAGACCGACAAACATACTTAGCCTTACCAAGCTCTTAAAAAGAGATTTTGCGACGTAAGTTCCGAAAATGCCCGGAAGTAACAACACCACTTGAATAACGCTTGTCACCGAACCCGTCAGGTTTGGGGCAATATCTACTATGTTGACCATGGCGCCTGGAAAACAGGCGGACGTGAGCATTTGTGAAAACGCCCAAACGGTCATATTCAAATATTTATCGCATCCCAAGTGATTTATGAGCAGGCAGCACGCACCAGGCAGGAACATTCCTGTAATAAGACATTATACCGTGTGTTTATAAATGAATGTCGGGGGTCTTTCCAATACTTTCATCTTTTTGACTCAAATTGTACATTAAACGACACAGCAACTTCGTCTGGTTTTTTAAACCAAGTGGTCAGTTGATCATGCCTAATGTTTGAGTTGCTTTGTCATTTGATGTATTCTTTTGAATTTTCAGTAAAGATATGGTGAAGCCTTGGAATTCCGTTATAAGGTTCATTAGTTACCTATTCCCGTGAATAACTTGCGAATATTTTTTATCGTAATAAAATCGTAGGCCAGTAATTTATCTGCAACATAGGAAAATATTATTGCAAAGATAAAGGTCCCAAAGTTAATAATTCCCCCGCAAAGCCCGTTCTGGAATGCGATCATTATTTACTGAAATGACACAGATTAATTACCATTTCGGCACCTAACCCAATTATTGATTTGAGATACAATGGTCCGTAGGTGTTTGAAATTAAGCTAAACCACATTCTGCCAAACTGTGATATCGCAATGGCCCAAACCGGAAGACACAAAAAAATAGACTTCCAAGGTACGATCCGTTTATCTGCACTCAAAGTATCTTTTCTATGTTTCGAAATGTAATGTAGTTCTTTGTATTGCATGCGAGGGTGTAATTCTGGTTTGTCGAATGCAAAGAAGTACCATGCAAGACACCACAGAGCACCTGTAAAGAGCCATTGAATTTTTAGGGTTCCTTTACACCTGAATGACAACCTAGCATTCCAGAAACGTAGAATACGTACTTCCATCCAAGCGATGCAATTAAAAATCCCGACATTAGTAGTGAGATAGACATACCAATTGACAAACCCTGCAAGCAGGTCAAAAACCGAGCTTGCTCGTGTTTAGGTATCCACCAACTAACTAGAGAATACAGCGCGGGCCAAACTACTCCCTAAAATTGCAATTTGTGCTACTATACGCGATCTGTTAGGCTTACCAGTCCCAATCCGTGCAGAAGTTGCAAAACAATTACAACCAAATAATTCACCTCGCTTCCGAGCGGAATGAATAGATTACATACTGTCGAGGTGAACATTCCTATACCAATCACAATCTTTGCCCCAAACTTATGGGCTGTGATTCCTCCAAGCACTTGTCCCCCAATATACGTCCAGAAACAAGAGGTAAGTATGAAGTACTGGACGTCTATGGACCAATCAAAAGTACCACCATAGTTCTAAAATGTAGTGAAGAATGGTATGAATAAAGAATGTATAAAAGAACCACGAAAAAAAAATTTTTTTATTGTTTTCTTAAGCGATCGATTTCGGGTTTTTTTATATACCCATCATCAGGATCGCTTAACCCTGATGATGGGTATATAAAAAAACCCGAAATCGATCGCTTAACCCTGATGATGGGTATATATAGAAAAAATCGAAATCGATAACTTAAAACAAAAAAAAACAATAATAAAAAATATTTGTGGTTCTTTTATACATTCTTTATTCATAAAAGCAGAACCAGAAAATGGAGATCATAAAAAATATGAAGAATGGTAGTTGAACCTGTGATGACCTTACCTTATACGTGACAGCCAAGTCATTCCTCACGTTACACTTACTGTCATTCTTAGCTAAATATTCGCTGCTTTCTCCTTCTTTAACCATCGCTAGTATTGTTATACTCATCGCCGTTCGTAAAACAAAACTTACTCCTATACACGTCGTCGCTAGAAGATATAAAGATACCCTAGCGGGTACCTTCGCTACAAGAAACATCAGCTCTTTACGCCATCATTATCTTCGATTTATTACCAAAAGCAGAAGATCTCGACATGCTGATTCTCTTCCTTGGCCTATAATTTCAAAAGGATATTCTTGCGGGTTCTTCGCTGGGTACGCCAATGAATTAAACAAGTATATTGAGTCATTCACCAGAAAATATAAGAAACTTCGTCAATTTTCTCTATACGCGAGTTGCTAACTTAGTTGCAACTGACATCACGACCAGTCTAAAATAAACGTTTTACTTCCAGGATGGATACACATAATTTAATTGATCGTAGTGTTTTACTTATATAACGGTAGATCATTAAAACTTTAATTAAGTGAGAATTAATTACCGTAAATAAGGATACAAACATGTATCACATATGTTTTTCTTTTTTCATATTTTGTGTATTTTGTGTGCCTTGAAAACTGTTCACAAGTACTTCAAATTTAATTAACTTCCATAATACGTATTATGGAAGTTAATGAAATCTGCTTGACAATGCAAAGGAAGAGAGTAAACATTTTCAAAACGCAATTCGCAATTCGATATGAAATTGTCTTGGAAATTGTTGATCAAACAAAATTATATGCTCGAGTACCTCAATGGTAATCTTCCTAATTGAGGAAAGTTCGAAACTTTTGAATCAGATTTAACTTTTATTTTGTTTGACTTATATTTATATTATCGTGCTTTCTCCAGCTCAGGAAAATTTCCTATTTTAAGGGGCCTAATGAAAGTAGAAGGGCTCTTCTGTAACCACTGTGATAGTTTGGCCATTTTTGGTGGTAGCAACACTGACCAGACAAGTCTTCATCTGGGCATAATTCACCTTTGATCTTCTTAATATCCTCTGGAGGAGGTCCTTTACCAGCTTTCCGAATAACCTCCAAACCAAAGAGATGCAGGTAGGATGAAGGCCCAATGTGTTTATGGAAGATCGCATGTTTTTCACTTCTTCCCAGTCGACACTATTAAACGAATTAGCTGCTCCCCAGGCGGCATAGGTACCAGATCCAAATGTATACAACGATAAACTGCACAAGATCCAGCCTTTTCCTACCTTCAACACAATGGGCCTTACAAGATCGACTCCAGTGGTGGTAAACGGGTCCCCATTCGATATCTTTTCCTTTGGTAAGGGAATTGCGTCCCCTTTTAGTGGTTTAGTACGAAGGCATGTCTTAGAGTTCCGTATCACCTTTGCACCGCCCTCCTGTAGTTGATTATCCATCACTTTTCTCTCAACTTTTCACGAATGAGGTTGACTCCACGAATCAAAAGAAAGTCGTAAATTAGAGTTGTGACAAGTGCTGAGGGAGATAAAATCATTCTTACTTTCTCTACACCAAAGTCGGGTTTCCACACGAATGAGTCCTTGGAGTCACGTTTCACATTCAAACGT